TATATATACTGATATATTACTTTTACCTACTATTACTGATACACTAAATAATCATGATTCGCACACAACCAGTTAGGAAACTATTGCCCAAGTTAATCATGATGTTACTATGATATGAACAGATGCGAAGTAAATGTATATTATAATTGTTTAAGGCGCTTTCAAGTGTTACTCGTTTTTCTCTCTGTTTATTATTCGATACGGCTCACGTGAAGCATAGATATTTATATCTATTCATCATTTTTAAATCCTTGAAATCATTTATGTTACTAGTCCGTTAAAATACAAACTAACGAATTATAGAGAAAGAAATGAAGAAGAAAGCGTTAACATTTGAGAATAAAATTCAAATTGTACATGGAGCTTTGAGTTCACTGCACCCAACCTAGTTAATATATTTTGTTTCATAGTAATTATATGAACTTATTTTCACAAGAAAAACGTAATGATTTCGTGAACAATTAATTTGTTTACGTAGTAAATGCAGTAGTGTTAAGAACAAATAGCTGTGAAGATACGACAGAGAAAGATAGGAAAGTTGCAAATCACTCTAGCTAGAGATGGTGTGGAAGGAATTGCGAAAGTACTCAGAGAAATTTCGGCATGGATATGAGTTGCAAACACCTTTGAATATTTGCAACTTGTATTTATGCCGGGAATATATTGAGCAGGCGGGTTTGAAGTGGTGACTAGACATTTTCAAATGTTCACTAGTTTTCAAACCTGAACGTAAATATTGTAACGTAGATATTCGGAATGATGTAGTTTATGTCACCATGTTAAGGATAACATATGTATTGGTAAAAGTGAACAATAAGTGGATGCATCGTCTTTCTATGGTAATAATGCTCATAAAGGTCATACCTGTGCTTAATGGATTAAAACATTTTCTTTGCTTAGAAAAGGCAATGAAAGAATATTAATGGAATATTTACAACAAATCAATGTATTTTATATAGTAATATCTGATGCACGGCCTCATGCTAGAAATTTATGATTCTCAGAAATATTTCTTAGCGTTTTTTCAGTGATGGCTAGTGGTTCGTTGGCCAGAAATTTGAAGACAGTTTCAAACTTGGCACCGAGGTCGGTAATTACATGGGATCGTGCTGAACGCATCAGACGAAACAAAGAAATTTGGGATAATAAAGATTCTGTCGTGCATCGATTACCACGACATTACAAAGAAAAATACTGGGAAGTATGTAGTTCCGAGATTAATATTAGAAGTTGAAGCAGTTAAAATTAATGTTAGTTTATTAATATTTTGTTTAAACTATTCACGTGCCTGAAGAAATTGTGATTTCTTATAGCATTGTATTATAGGATATTATTGTGGCAAGTGTGTATGTCATTACAGTACTTGATTGTAAAGTTTTTATTGCTTCATTTTATATTTGATGCGAAACAGATGTTTGAAGTAATTGTGATTAGTGATTTAGAATCTTTTTGTAGTATGTACTAAGCGAAGCGACTCCAGTGCATTATCGTAAACCGACATCTAGGTATGAATGGGATTCTAAACGTCGTATAATGGTGGAAGTAGAAGTAAATGATTTTCTCCCGTCTTATTTATTATATACTTATTCGGAAATTCATTTTTCAGCCCAATTTTCATGACTATTATCAAATTTAATGGTTTCGAATAAGAAAGATTAATGGGAAGTAATGGAGTTATTCCACTAGTTTTTTCTATTCAAGAAATCATGCAAGCTTTTAACCTCTAATTTACTCTAGGAATATCCTATAATTGGTTTTCGTCCACCAGAAGCTGATCGCGGATTATGGGGAGGGGAAACGTTAGTGAAAGGTTACATTGAATCACGTCCGTATACGAAGAAAAAGGCAAGTTTAGATGCATGTATGGTTGCGAGATTTTGACCATAATATCTTTTTAAAAAGCTTTAAAAAGTGACAAATTGTATTGATGCTAAATTTACATTCTGCTTTCTAGGTCTTACCAAGACAGTGGGTACCACATTTTTTCTTCCCGTATCTGAAAAATGCTATTGTATATTCGGAAGTTTTGGACAAATATATGAAAATCATAGTGACGGAACGTACTTGTCGATTGATCGATCATCACTTTGGACTTGATTTATATCTGCTCGAAACACCTGAAATCGATATTGCTTCGAAGTATATTTCTCATCTGAAAATATTAGGGTGGCTGGCTGAAATGGATTTTTCAAGTTTGCAAATAACTTACGCATTGCTCAGGTGCTATATGAAACTTTTTCTAGACTCGGAAATAAACTAAAACGAGAAATACTGCTCACATTAGCTAAAGAGACTTATTTTCCTGATAATCCAGAGCGACACAATTATATAAAACAAAAGTATGCCAAGTTTTTGATGCCAGTGGAGGAAGCAGAATGGATTGGTTTAGATTTGAACGAAGCATGCATGTATGATACATGATTTCTTTTTCATATTTATGATCACTTTCTATAAATTATTTTCTATTTTGAAGATCAGGGTATATTGTGTTCTTTTACTAGTGTGATACTTATTTAAAGGGCGCACTGAAATTGCTGTAAAATTCAATAAGTTAGGCTTCATTTCCTTAATTTCCGTCTTATGATTTGCGTCCTCGATAGTGAGAAAAATTTCCCAGTTTTCTGTTTCATGTTATTTCATGCAAGTGCTGCATAGACTACGATATTTCGGGAATATGAAATATGCTATATATCAATAATTACAGAAAACAACAAGAAATTGAGGACAGTATCAAACCGGAACCAGAGAAGTATAAGTTTGAGTTGGAGCTAATTAAGCGTTTATCAAGTGGTGAAGAGAATCCGGATTATGACACAGTAATCAAACAATTAGAAACAAAGTCAGTAGTCGGTGAAAACGCAAAGAAAGCGATGTGCATGATGAAGCAGAGGTTTAATAAATTAGTTAATCGGATACAAAATGTAAATTGATGAATCCTTGTGTCTTCCTTAGTTTATACAATGGAACTTGCCAATCTATAATGTATTTAATTGCTTGGAATTTTCTCTAGTGATATCTATATATTTTCATTTCTTTGATAATGATTCTTTTTTTAATGTTTTTGTTCGTGGCTACTTTTGCTTTTGTTATGATGTTAGGTGATAAATTTTGTCAATTTTAGTATTCTTTCTATATATGTCGACTTAAGTTTTTCAGCCTTCGTGTTATCTTTACTCTTAGATTTCCATTTTACGTTGACATACTGTTTTGGTTCTCAACAATTCAGACTGCCGAGACTTTAAAAATAATGAGGACTGAAACAAAACAAGCCTTGTGATGTCGTTTCACAAGTAGAGAAATGTTTCATACTCAGTTTGAAATTTCTGTTACTAATAATTTGTTTAAAGTGTAGAATCATTTTTATAGCTTGGTGTCATCTTTTTGACATAAGTTTTTTATGGAAAATAAATCAGAAATAGATCGTGAAGTGCTCAAAGATGGAGGTGAACAAAGTCCGGCTGCAGAAGCAGCTGTCAGTAACGAGGACTTGATTGGATCGTTGGAAGGTTTTGGTGATATATGCAGTGGAGAACAGAAATTATCCAAGAAACAAATTAAGAGGTAATGGTTTTTCATTATTTCTTGGAGTGTGTTCTTGAACTGGCGGAACATGCGTTTGGGTGCGCATGTGCATGTGTGGGAGACGTGGTCGGGATTCACGCATAGTTTATGTTAATGTGGGTAGTGCTTCCTATTGTAATGATTGCTCAAATTAGATGGTTTATCTATACAGGTTAAAGAAGCAGCAGGTGAAAATGCTTCATCGAAAAGAAAAGCGAGCGAAAGAAAAGCTGAAGAAAAAGATGAAGCGTCAGGCGGAACGTATGGCAGGTCATATACCTTGCAAAAAACCACGCTTTAGGTTTTTACCCTCTTGTGCTCTTATTTTTATCCGCACTTTTTTGTAAGATTTACTTTATCGGAATGTTTAGCCAAATGAAGGACTCAAAATGCAAACAACGAGTTGCTGTTGATATGCAGTTTCAAAGTTTAATGCCACTAAAGGATATTCGACGTATCTTTGTCCAACTATCGCATGCTTACGGTTTAAATCGTCGAGCAGAGAATCCATTACAGCTTAGTATTGTTAATTTTTCAGGCGTTCAAAGTAAGGTACTGTGTGTTATTTGTAATCTAACATATATGCAGTTCTTGCACAAACATATATATAAATATATAATAATGGTTTTAGATTTTCTACGCGAATCCAAGCAATCATCATTGGGATGTAATGTTTGACGAACGGCCTCTGGATTCCGTGTTTGAAAAAACTGATATTGTTTATTTAACGGCAGATTCCAAAAATGTGTTGCAAAAATTGGACAGTTCAAAAGTGTATGTTTGCAATTTTTCAAAGCCTAAAAGTGTATTTGTTCAAGTAATTCGTATTCTTACAGAAATAGCAGATTACGTGGTCACTAATTACTATGTTCGGATTTATTTCACCTCTACTTTTTTAAACATTCCTGAAGCTAGTGATTTCTTCGTAGATAAGCTGCAAGATCTAGTTTAACTTTATATAATCTGACATATGGTTGTTGACTTCGATTTTTAGGTCATCCTTTAATTTCTATAAAGCGTTTTTTATTTCTATTAAGCTTGGAATTTTTCGTTATGCTCATTTCTGTGTTTTGCAAAAAATATTTAGATATGTAATTGGGGGATTGTTAGATCATAATTCGCTAAAAGGTCATTGTTTGGAAATAGCCAAAAAGGAAGGATATGCTCACGCGCGGTTACCAATTGATGAACATGTTTCAGTGACGACAGGGAAGGTGAAAATTGTGATACTTAATTTTACTGAAATTTATGAAAGAGTTCGGAAATCTTTCCTTAGCCAAGTTTTGTCCATCTGACTAATTCACGAGCATGTTTTCAGGTTTTGACAATCAATCAGGTCTTTCAAGTTTTGCTACGCTACACGGAAAATAATTCATGGAAACAATCATTTCTTGAAGTAATTCCGCGAAGAAAAGGCGTACTCAGCATTATGGAACGTTTCGAACTAATGAACGGTTATATCCAAAAAAATGATGCAGCTGAACCTGGTGATACTATTGATAACAACATACAGAAGACTGGTGATTAATATATTTTTGATCGAAATGTTCGATTTTATTCCAAATTGACTACAGATTATATTCTTTCTATTGTTTCTCTGAAAAAATGTCATATCAAGTTGTTAAGTTACTCTTGTATTTCTGTCACTTTTTAGTATGGATGAAAACTTGTTTGTTTACTATTGTTCGTTACGACATAATGAGATGTCATCATTACAACTGCTAGAAGTTTTAAAAAAAAGCAGAGCGAACTCTAGCAATTAAGAAGCTTCGTGCGAGTGTTCAGGTTTTACTCGTATAGGACAGTGCAAAATCTGCATATTTGTTAAGTTAAGGAATCATGAAGATCTGACATGAGTCAGTAAACATTTGATTCAACAAGACGCAAACTTAGCTACAGATTTGATATTAATGGCTTACAGTACTGTCGATTAGGAAATCTCAGAATGATACGAAAAGTGATAGTTCTGTGAAGATGACTACAAAGAGTGGTAGTAAAGAATTAGTGTACTTTCTACATAGGTTAATAATTTCGCAGTAACAATAAATCGCACTACATAGCTGTAATCGGCCATACGTTATAGAGAGATCAACGTAAGGGCACTATAAATTTGCAAGTATACGGTAGCTCATTCTGAAAAAGTTTATTTCTCGTAAAATTATGTTGTGCTGCTTCTAATATACGGTAGTATATGGTAGCTTTCTAATACCCTGGGGCAGCGATTTTGAAGCAAAGAAAGCTTAATACGTACTTGGCAATTATTGCGCCTTATCTAAGGATTATGTACAACCTTGCAGGAAATCATACTGTCGAAAACGTAATGGCAGCCCCGAAGGCGCTTTTGTACAGCGAAATAGAAAAGAAAACTCACCATGCAAAACTATACAAGATGCGCACGAATAAAATCTCGTCTGTTGCTGATTCATCAATATGGCTACGATTTGGAAAATACTGCGCCACAAGATGAGACATGATACTGTTATCTCCAAGATTGAAATATTTTTGGAGATGAGAAAGGTATGTGCCAACATTGTAAGCAACGTGTGAAAACAGTGGATCATCTAGCAACGCAGTGCGAAAAAATGTTACATCACGATTATACATTAGAAAACACAGTGAAGTCCTACGATGCATCCACTTGGGGCTCCGCAACAAGTATGGCCTGAAAGCATTTCCGCGCTTGCGAAGCCATTCTATTCAGAAGGTCGTCGCAAATGAGGATGTTGAGATCAGAGTCGATACACGAATGAAAACTGTAATCAGAATAAAGGCGGATCGACCGGATATCATAATATACTATAAGAAACGACGTGAAGTAATCCTGATTGAGGTTGGCATCACTGTCTGAACAGGTTGACAGCAGCTGAGACTGAAGAAAAGTAAAGATATGACCAACTTGCTAATAAGCTTAAGTTAGATATGAAATAATTCCGTATGTGATGACTTGGGATAGGATAGTGACAAACTTCCATAGACGTTACGCGAAGAAAATCAGTGTATCTCATCACGTCAAGGCATACATCCAATTAATAGTATTCAAGAAAACGCTCGAAAGTATCTCATTCGGTCAGCGCCGTGTATTCGACAAGGAAAAGCAGCGGAGATCAGTAGAGCAGAACTGAGCGTGAAGCGAGTGCAGCGAGAATGCCAGAATACGATTTAGCGCCAGAATCAGTAATGAAGGAAAGAGTAACAACCTCCGTGTGATACTGATTTGATATATATATCATATATATGGAAATTTCAACATTTTTGCTTGATCTTAGACATCCACTTTGTCTTTTTATTTATCAAATCTTACTGCTCAAAATCCATCCCTAGTATAAATTACAATCTTCTGAAGTTGTTATGATGCATTCTTTGAAGGAAATGGAATTCAGCAATGATTTATTTGTGGAGTTTTGTTAAAAAAGCTAAATTAAAATAAGGCATGAAACAGGAATCAATTTTAATTTTGATGGCCAAACTTTGTTTTTCATTGTCATTTAAAAGCGAATGCTTTTTGTAATTGAAATGAAAGGAGTGATAAATTTTTGTGATGATTAATTTTGATATTACTGAGAACCGTTAATTTATTTTATTCAATCCTTTAATGTGAAAAACGGGCTTAATTATCTTCAAAAACTTGACCAATTGCCTTAAAAATACTTAGCAATATATGCATAAAAAATAATTTGATTTTTGACACTAGCATCTATTAATATTTAAGTTAATTCATTAACTTGTTGCTATGTCCTTTAAACTCGTTGCTAGCCTATTTTTTCTATAATGAATTAAATTTAGTTTTTTTATGACTACGATCATAGAAAATCATTCTAAAATTTAACTGCAAACAAAAGCAGATGTTTCTGTAGTCATGAAAACAAATTAAGTTATTAAAAAAAATAATGAAAATATTATACTTAAAGTCGAACAGTATTTTTCTTTTAGCAGTTTATTGTCATTTAAAGAGCTTGAAATTGCGGTCAAAGTTTGAATCTAAAAAATTCAATTTCAAATGGACATTTATTCACTAATTCATTCTATAGTTATATGTGCTTTGTCCATTATTTTGGGTACTTTACTACTAATTACCAATCTTCCTGTACTTTATGCTATAGTTGCTAATTACAAGTTAAGAATACGCTATGGTATTTTGGCTTCATTGATATTAGTATCTGCAATTGGAGGTTAGTGAAAAGCAGTGATTATATTATTAAGTAGACTGATAATAATTTAATGACTGATAACAAATATTTTAAGGCCTAAAAAACATTTAATGACTATCTGTTACAAAGTTCAATATAATTTATAAGATATGAAAGTTCTATTTTTCAAAGAAAATGTCGACAAAAATTTCTGCTCACATTTTTTTAAGGATTAAATTGTTTCATACGAGCTGGATCAATTATTTTGGAAGTAATAAATACAAAAAATTATAGCTGCAATCATTTTGATAATGTATCATCTACTAATAACACACCTTGGAATTGTCTTGGCCCGGTTAGCTGTATCACATTCATTTGAAAATGATTTGACTTTGCTGTTTATCGCATTTTTTTTAAAAAAGCCTTAATTTCAAGTAAAATTGCAAATATCTCTTTAATATTGCTTACAAGTGTTTAGATTACAATTAATTTCGATATTATTAAAGCTTACACAGTAATATAAAAATAGATTGAATGCATTTGTTCATATTTGATAGCATTGGCACTGAATAATACATTAGAAGATTATTTGAATATAGTCAATTAAAATAATCATAAAGTGATAAATTTTAGGTTGCAAGTTATATTGAATTATTTTGTTTTCCTTTACTTTCAATAGCGCTATTATTAAACAGTTTTGATCGTTTACTTGCTTTATGTAATCCCATTGGTTATTATTTACATCCAAAATTTTATTTAATTGTGCAACTTTCCGTTGCTTGTTTATTCCATGGTACTATTATTATCTACGTTGTAATTGCAAGATTCAGCTTACAAATAACTTCTTATAAGTGAGTGTTTGTTTTATGAATTTAAAATTTTTTACTGATAATCATTTTTTTTTGCTTTTCTTATCAAATAGATTGAATTGAAATACAAAAATAAACTGTATTAAATAAATTGATTAAAACTTTTAACTTTTCAGACATTTTTGTGGCCAACCATGTTATTTATTTAATGCAAATTCTCAATAATTGCGATTTCATCTAAAGCTGGCTATTTTTGATATATTTTCAGTTTAAATCATTGATATTTCTGAAATTAATAAAATAATCTGTGTATTTATTGAATTTATTTTGATTAAAGTGTATTATTTAATATTAAATTTAGCAAATTAGTAAAAATAAATAAGTAAAATTTTTTATTCATTTTTTGTTTATAAAGAATTATTTTATAGATGTTACGTTATGATGGCAAGAGAAACATATTTTTTGTTACTTTTTACAAGGATGTTTACTTCGACTTTAAGTATTGTGGTGATGCTTATTGTTTTGGTAAAACTTCGCTTGCAAATAAAAAAAATTGCTTGGAATGATAATCGCCTAAATAATTTTACTCTACGTCAGCGTGGTTATACTAAAGCAATGCTTTTTTCGTGTTTGTTCACGTTTAGTAAGTTTGTTTTTAGCAAATAAACTGCTCTCAAACTTTTTATAAATTTAATCCTGTTCGAAACAAAATGATTTATTCATTAATATCAATATCATTTTTTGTTCTTATAAAGATAAAAAATAAATCCTATTCATTGTAATCACTTCAGCTTAATATTGCATTTGTACTTTTTACGAAACTAAAGAGGCTTACCCCTTTTTTTTACGAATAATTAAATATATAATAATTAATTGAAATATAATTGTAAAAAAAGGGGCAGACCTAATTATTATTAATAATTAATGTCGTAAAAACTTTGCAGCATTTTTCATCATACCTAATGTGATTGCATATTGCGCTAAAGCGTTCAACTTCTTCAACGCTGACTTATACAATTCATATTTGAAGTTGATCAGTTACACTTGTACGCTTGATATTCTTGTGATAATGCTTTACCGACAAAACGATATTATGTCGGAAACATTATCACGCTATCCTTTTCTGTCTCGTTTTCTAGTTCTGTTTCAATTTAAGCAAAAAGTAACTGTAAAAATTATAATTCCTAGTCAATGCAGAAATGTAAATCTGAAGAATAAAAATTAGTAATTTACATGTCTTGTTGTCAAGCATACAAATCACTAATTCTTACTTTTCATTTCAATCAACTTTATACTATTTACTTGCAGTCAAAATTTACTTACTCTTTTTTGTTTCTCCAATTTTTCTTTGCAACACACTAGGTGAGAAGTGATTAAAGCTAAAATAGGTGTCAGCTAGCAAATCTTTCAAAAATTATATAATCAACTGGTAAAATGGTTTTGTGGAGCTCAGATTTCACTAAGCTCGAATAATTACAACAATATGAATGACTAGTGGTATGAAGTGTAATGTAAATTGTTACCAGGTTGATATATCATTATTCATTATGCCTCTATTATTAATTTCAAAAAAGTCTATTTTTGCAAAAAAAGAAACTTTGCAAATTTTTCGCAGCAAAGATAAAAAATATGAGAATTGTGAGATTACTCTATCGAACTTGAGAGTTCATCTCAAGTGTGACTATGAGGTCAGAAGACGTATTTCTGTTCACGAAATTTGATCAGTATAATTGTACTTTTATTAAATTCATTTGATAAGATATAAGTATTCCATTTTACTCAGAAATGTATTTTTCAGAGTTGCATTTCCTGTTCATTAAATATTTTACAAATATATATTATTCTACAAATATTACTAATTTCAATCCGTTAAGATATAGCAGTCGTATAGTAAAGCTATGTATTAATTAATAACTTTGGATAAACAAAAAAGCATCAAAATACATAAAATTCAGAATGAGTGTAATAAATGCAAAAAATAAAACATTTTTCACAGTTCCATTTTTATCCCATTAAACATAATTAATCCAGCTAGCTATTTACTGATTTATTTTTATTGATTGCAATCAACATTATACAAAACTTTTGAATAAAACTGTAAAATATGTGGAAATATGTTTATCTTACTTTTTATCGTTATTCAAATTTTATTTCAAGACTACTTTTTTAAATGTTATCAATCGTAACTCTGAATATAACTCGAAAACTGTTTATACAAAAAATACAAATTGCAGCATATAGAAAACATATCTGTTAATACCATCCCCATTCTTTCATATCACTGTAAGCTTGGTCAATCAGTGCATTCCAATTTGTTCTCTGTTCATCAGATACACCACCAGCGTGTTGTTCCATGGCTGCTATCAAAGCATCTTTGGTTTTCTGAAAAATATAGTTACAGAAAAATTAACTACATGATAAAACAAGCTTCAAAAGCTGTAATTTTCTATTCATCTTATTGCTTAAATTTTAATCAATGCACCAGGCACAATTTTTAAATTTATAAAACAATTATTATTATCATTTTGATTTAATTTATATCTTAATTGAAAGAATTTTATTCTAGTTTTGTTAAATATTTTGAATAACTTACAATAAATTCACTAAGAGGTATATTGAATTCTTCATAATGATCTTTAAAGTCAGAAAGAGTGGATCTCCATTTACGATCATCACCAAAAACTTGAGGCATAGTAAAAAAAGACTGTAAAATCTGCATTCCATACATGATAAATTTATGAGATTTTGCTATTGAATCTGGTTCAATGTGTTCCGCATTGTAATACGCAGCTATATCTTTGTGTTTCGTAAATAATCTACAAATTTTATATCATCTCAAATGCATAATTCAGATGCTATATTTCGAGCAAGAATTTGATCCAATGTACATTATAGTCTTGCAAACAAAAAGAATGAAGTGAATTGTATGATTTGAATATTTGCAATAATTTTTATATTTTCAGTCACTAATATTTTTTCATTTTGCATTTGTTTAATTTATAAATGAAATAAAAATAATAAGTGATGCAAGATACAATTCAATTATTAATTATTTTAACATAAAGTCTTAGTGCAAAGATTTTTGGCAGGCAAACTTTGAATTTTCTGCTTAATTCAGAAAAAAATAACATCAGCCTTTTACTTTCGTATTTATCAGTCTTGAATAAATTGTAAAAATAAGAACACCATTCGCTTTCTCTTCTTGATTCTTGCAAACTTACTGCTTATGAAATTCTCCTGCAGTATCTTTTGAAATTTTATATTGTGCCACGTGATTCTTCAAGCATTCAACATCAACCATTCTTGTAATTAGCTTTCTTTCGGTTGACTATAGCAAAAGTCTGAGAAAACTTTAAAATTTAGTTCAAAAATTAACAATATTTATGAACAAAGCTTTCTTAATGAATTATTATGTATAAAAGAAACCGTTAATGACAATTTAAGCATCTCGTAAAATTTAATTAAAACACAAATCCTGCATCAAAAAAGAAGAAAAAACGTTAGCATTAGAAAAAAAAACACATCACACTACATAATTGCTCACTGTATAAATAAAAATTACATGAAACTGTTACAAGCAAATCGCTAAGCATAAACGACAAATTTTTTCAACGAGAGTACAATCAGAGCTAAGGTTGCAGTACTAACTTTAAAGTTAGAAAATATGAATAAAATATTTATTCTTGTCATACAATCGGCAAAATAATTTTGTCTACGATTATGAGCAACATTTCTTCAAATTTATAGAAAGTCTAGAATGAACAGCTGCTATTGTTTATGTAATAATCTGGTTGCAGAATGCTTCAGCATTCAAACACAAATAATGTCCAAAGATTTGGGTGATTCTTGTTAGAACTATAGCCTTCACTGTCAGTAATGCTGACAAAAACATTTATTATGAACTTAACAAGTTTGATAGATTGCAAAACGTCTGCAATCCTGATATGATACTCAGTTTTGTAATTTTTGCTGTTTCGTAGAATGACTTCGTATCCCGCAGTAGTTTTAAAAAAAAGACCTTTCTCATCTTCTTGATCATTTCATATCATACAAGTTCAAGTTCTGCACTGCTATTAAGCTTGTTTTTGCAAAAAAAAAAAAGAGAAAAAAAAGAGAAAAAAAAGGAAAAAAGTAGAAAAAACGAGACAATTGTTGACTACGTTCGTATACTAATCATATGCAATTTTAAAGTTCTTGTCGGTTCGGCTGCATTATTGTAAAAATGCTAGTTAAGATCATAATATTGTGCGTACAAAATTTAAATTCAACTTTATGCATAAAGATGCAAACCAGTACGCGTTATATGATAAGAATACATCTAGCTGAGTAAATTACAAAACAAAACTCTCACTCAAATACTAGTCTCACTTCAACAACACAATTCAACAACGAAACAAAAGTAGGTCCAACCTTGATTTTTAGTAAAAACTCAAAGCATTCAACTCGTCAACCACTTAACTATTGACAACTGCAAAGCTATTAGTTCATTTCTTTTTTCATTCTATCATTCATCTCGCAACTATTTTAGTTGCTAGCTATATCCACGATGATCAGCTGATGAATGACATTCCTTCGATAAGAGACCAGAAACCGCAACGTCTATACATTATTTCTCATTAACGCCAGTGATAACAATTAGCTAGCATATTTCTATGCACTTCGACCTTCAAAAACTTTACTGTCTATTGACTAACTGTACTCCGGATCCTTAAAACGAACTCCACAAATAAGCAATTATGTGACTCATACTTACGACCAGTGATAGCTGGTAATTACCGTTACTTTGGAATTCTCCACTTTTCAATATCATGAACAGCCCAACATTCGAATATACAACACTAATATTAACATTACTCAACCAGTACTGCCATATCACAGAAGAATCACTTCAACGCATAAAACTAAAGTAACACAATTAGAGAACATTTGCAACTATACCTTCAAGCCTTCTTTTATATCCACTTCAAATTAGTAGTATTCCGTCTTGATTAGTGATGTTCTCTCCAACTACCATAGGCATTAACTGATAAATCCTAAATTTGCTGCCAAATGCCATTATTTCGATGACTACTAGAATTCGACATTTTAATCAATAATTAAATATACTTCCGCAATTGCCAGATTCCAGTTCCCGCATTAACTGTCTCATTTCTCACAACAAATCAAAGTTCATTTTAATGCTGTTCAAACTCTTCCTTTATCTTTTTTCATAAGAGATGTCCAACAAGTCAATAACATATGGGAAACTGACGTGTTTACATGATATTACGGATACATTATTTGAACATACTTCATGAGTTACGAAATACCAATTTATGAAAATAATCTATTGGTGACTAAAAAAGATCCTCAATTCCTTTGCGTTCAGGAAAATATATTACAAGCTCGTTCATTTTTCCAAAAATTATCAATAAAAAATCAATGCATCGTTACTTCGAGCTTATAATCATTTTTAACATCTCACTTAAAGTCATCATCTCTGCAATGCTTACTTTCTACTAAGTTTATTTTGTTCATTTCTGAGTTCCTTGCACTTTAAAAATGATGTGGATAAAAAGTATGGCACGAAATTCCGTACTTTTTTGAATTTTTCACACCATTTGATGACACTAAGCACTAATCAATAATATTCATCATCATGATCATTAGCAGCAACTGCAGATCCTACATTTTTTATTTGCTCCTGGTTGCTGTACATGTCTGCTATCTAAAAACAAAAATTTTCGTGGAAATCATTGGTGTGTTTTTTTATGATGAAAACTTAACAGATTGCATTAAATGACGAAGAATTACGTTTGCAGCTGATTTCAATCTCCACACAGAAATTCTGTTTGTTAGACTCACAGCTATCTATTTCATGACATTTTCAAAGCAAATTCGAATAACTAGGATACAATAAAAAATTCATAAATACATTGAAAAACTCAGCTTCCGAGTAAATCAGCAACTACTGCAACATAAATGAATTTCATACCTGCTGTGAAGTTGTAGCCTCCTCAGCTGTTTTATCTATACGCCTGCGAACGTAACGAGGAAAACGTAATGAAATTCCTTTCTCTTGATCGATCTTAAGAACAGCGTAATAATGCGATAAACACTTGAATTTTAATCTACGCTTGTATTAGAATTTATATGTGGAATAAAAGGAAGTGCAAGATATTCCAAATCTTACAACTAAAAGGATGATAATTTCAAGACTTACAATCCCTTTCGCTGCGAGATACCTCGGGGATATTGATAAATCAGCTGCTTTTACTTCCCAAACAACCTCTGCATCGAACCATACATCCGCTTCCACTGCAGAATCATAAACATAATAAGGACGGGCCTAAAACACGCAAGATGTGCAGATTAAAGTACATTCCAAACACTCAACTCAGGATGACACATTTTTCTAACCGCTAACTTCAAGAATGATATACTTTCATCAGTTCTTATACCACTAAAATACTAGAAAATGATGTTTCGTGCTAAATTCACGAATAAAAAATTAATTAGCCACAATTTCCGAAAATCCTATTTCGAAAAATAAGAGTTCATATTTTTATCTCTTCTCACTGCGTCAAAGTGAGGAAAATGAGAACAAAATCCATAGTAAACAAAACAACATACAGTAGTAAATCAAATCAAATCAACCCTATAAATACCCATTAATATGTTGAAGTAACTTCATAATCTACAACTCATGAAGAACATGACAGAAAACGATCTTACTCAGACTGAAGAGCAACTAATTTCTTCCATACCTTTTCAATTTTAAGCACTGAAAAATATTCGTGCTGCTTACGAAGATCATCATCACTGAAACCCGTACCAATCTGAACAATAATTTTGAAAAAGTAGAATTAAATCATTCGAAACTGATTAAGAACAAAATTTTTAAATCAAAGAAACAATACCGCCACCTTACATATACTTTCGTACTCTTCACTTGCCGCATTATAACACGCAAGCAAATACCCTCCATAAACACCTGTTCTTTTCCCTGTTCCATAATAAGCCCCAATGACAACAAGATCAACAGTATCTCCAATGCTGTCCATATAATCTTTCTTGAGCTGTAACATTGGAATACTTGGAAAAAGAAAGTAAAAAATAACTTATGAAGAAACTGTGTTTTAAGCCATTACAGGGCTACTCCTCCTTTTCCAATGTCATTATTATTAATAAAATGTTAAAAAAACACAAAATTCCAGCAGATATCTCTAGGTAGTGAACCACAAAACAATTTAATAAACAAACAAATTCACAGGAACCTTTAACCAACTATGAGATCGCTTCGCTATTTCATATGTTGCATCGGAATCAAGTGTTTTAATCAT